TCTCTCTCTGCATCTTTTTTCTTTCTTAAATTCTCCGTCTGTCATTAATCTTCTTTTTCTCTCTGCTGTGTTCTTCATCATGTTTGCACAGATTGCTCTTCCTCCTCCTCCCCTCACGACCTCCTCAGTGTGGCCATAATCCCACTCTGAGCAGGTTGTGCAGTGTGAACAGGTGGTCTTCTGATTACGCAGCGCTGATGTCATTCCTAACAGGTAATTAACAAAAAAGCCTCATAACACACAAACTGATTCCTAGAACTCAACATATAGAAAAATGTCACATTTGACCTCTGACCTCTGACTTTGCATTTCACACCTGCCCTTGTTTCAAGTTGACACCAAAGTGTTTTGCATATTTAAATACAGTGAAAATGAGCTGCTGAGAAACATACTTTATTATAATAACAGTGATTCACGTCTGCTTATTCATACATCAGCAGCTATCATCACCTGCTCCTGTGTTTGTAATCAGAGTACACAGCCTGAGTTTTACTCCACTATAAACTTCTTAAAGTACTTTTAAAAAGACAGAATATATTTTTAAAACTCTTCAAACCTGCACAGCGAGCTGTTTGTGCTCTGTGTGTTCTTTCTGTTATATATGTCATGTTTGTATATTCATCCATGTTTCCTTTAGCCTCAGTGTGAGTGTGTGTCTGAGTGTGTGTGTGTGTGTGTGTGTGTGAGTGTGTGAGAGTTTCAGGTGAGGATCATATTTCAACGATGCATCATGTTGTCCACTCCCCGTCCCGACTGTTCGTAGCAGAAACGCTCTCACTCGTCGGCGTGACGGCTGAAGTGCTGCTGCTTTGATGGACGCTCAGACCAAATCAGGGAAAGTTTACCTGCAACCCCACAAACCTGGAAAAGTAAGTACACCTTTCATTCCTGCTGTTTGTGCGTCGCTGTGAGGGTTCAAGAGCCGACAGAGTGGGGAGGAAGCTGTGTTTTTGATTCTTTTATGACTGTAGCAACGACGAGAAACGGACATTTCTGTAGATAACCAACTAAAACGGGAGGAAGATGAACATTTTGTCACGCTTCATTTTGATTTGACGGCTGAGAAAAGGGAAAAACCAAAGATGGGATCTCAGTGTTTCTGTGGCTCGGGGAGTTTGAACCAACATGTTGAAACACAGCTTCACATTCCAGCACAACACAAAGTACACACACACGCCGTGTGAGCTCACCCACTCCTTTACGTCACGAGCACACCCACAACACCAACCTGTGACTGAAAACTCACAGATGATCATTTTACTGAACGTTTACCTGTAGTCCTGCTTTTATTGTGAAAGGACTGAGATCACAGGTGAGCGCAGGGTCTGTACTCATGTAGGACACGCCGGACGTGACCTCTCTGATGCATGGCGTTCATAAAGGAAAGGCTCAGGCTGACGCTGAGGAGTTTGTCTACGGAGGACCAAGAGTGCCCAAAGTGAAACACATGATTGAATGAATCCAGTGAACAATTAATCAGTAAAAAATATAATTTAATATTTAAAGCATGTGTAAGTATTTCACTATTTAACTCATTATTTCACGGTTTCACCCATCAAAGTCAGGGGGCGGGGCTAACCCTGATCTAAAAAGCAGTGAAGAACACAGAGTTTGTACTTCTTAGCTTTGAACTTGGCGGGTAGAGTCAGGAGTGCGGGCTCATGAGGACAGCTCAGACTGAGACGTCAGCCCTGCTTTGTCGTTTTATCCCTGCAGTGTCCACGTTGCCATGGAAACGGCTGTCTGCGAGGTTTTGTTGCATCGTGATCTGGGATCGATGCACCACGACCTGCAGTTGCAGTGACCGATGTAAATGACTTCACGATGAGCTGCTGCACAGATGCAATAATTAATGAAAGTGTAAAACAATGAAATGTTTGAATATTTTAAATAATTTATTGATACATATTTATTCATTTCATTTGACACTCTGGGCCCTCCGTACACACAGCCTTGTTTTCCTGCTTGTACGCAGCGCGGCGCTCACGTCTCTCTTTGTCCTCAGAAATGGAAGCCGGTGTGGTTGTCTCTGACGCCCCCCAGCAGCCGTGGAGTGGGCCGACTGGAGATCCAGGACATGGGAGGTAAACAGCTGCACTCGTTATGTGAATGATGAAAATAACAGTGATCGTTTCTTCTCTGAGCGCTCACAGCAGTAAGACTGAAGCTCACTGATTTCACACCGAGCCCAGTTCACTTTCAGTCCAGCTGAACTCAGACTGAGGGAGCAGGTGCTGCAGCAGCTCTGGGTCATCTCCCTGGATGATCCGTCACATCACGTCTCAGGTTTTATCCTGTTCCACTTTGATGTTTGAGGTGATATTTAATACGTGACACTAAATGTCAGATTTTCACAGTTTAATCAGGTTAATGAAACGCTGTGGGGAGCTCCAGGGCCGTGCACAGATGTTTGAAGGGGCAGGTGCTCAAGCCCCCCC